CTGCATGCGCGCGGGGGGAGAAACACGAAGAGAGATAGTGTCAGTTATACAACCCCAGCGTAGATTGACTTTGTACAACTTGTATGTCTGCATGCGCGCGGGGGGGAGAAACACAAAGAGAGATAGTGTCAGTTATACAACCCCAGCGTGGATTGACTTTGTACATCATTCACATGTACGTCTGGACGCGCGCTGGGGGAGAAACACGAAGAGAGATAGTGTCAGTTATACAACCCCAGCGTGGATTGACGTTGTACATCATTCACATGTACGTATGCATGCGCGCGGGGGGAGAAACACGAAGAGAGATAGTGTCAGTTATACAACCCCAGCGTGGATTGACTTTGTACATCCTTCACATGTATGTCTGCATGCGCGCGGGGGGAGAAACACGAAGAGAGATAGTGTCAGTTATACAACCCCAGCATAGATTGACTTTGTACAATATTCACATGTACGTGTCGTCTGGACGCGCGCGGGGGGGAGAAACACGAAGAGAGATAGTGTCAGTTATACAACCCCAGTGTGGATTGACTTTGTACAATATTATGTGCAGGTGCTTTGTACACACGACGAGGCGACATAACGTACCTCATGACAAAAACCATCCGCGAGTGCAAGTGCAAACATACTTGTAGAAAACAACAACTCGGATGTAGACACAGTAAATTCTACGAATCGCTTTGACATCTATAAATAAGCTGTCCCACATACAAAGCACAACCTTTAAGCAAAATTTTATCACATTAGCATGAGTGTGAATTTAAGTTTTTAAGTTTTACTCAATTTAAAAAAAACACACTTTACAAACACATATCGCTCACACACATCACATAGGCAGTTCGAACGCACCTCTGAACCCGCGCCATCGCACGAACGTATCTGCGGATTCGTACACGTACCATCGAGAGCTAATAACACCTCAGATATCATTGACTCCCGACACCATCGAACGCAAACCATTAGTAGTTCTGCTTTTGATTTTGTACTGATACGTTCGTGCGTCACACGTTCAGCGATTCGCAGACACGGAGGTGTTCGCGAACGCCACGTGGGGAGGGGGGAGGGGTTCGCTACATGCTCACCTCGACGAAGTGACGGACGACGGCGTCGTTCCGCTCCAGCTCCTCGTTGTAGTAAAGCGTCTGCAGCTGCGCGTCCGAGTACGCCGTCAGCGACGCCGCGACCCGCCGCTTCGACGCCGGCGCCATCTGGTGGCCCCGCGCAGTCTCGACGGCGACCCTCGCCTCGATCGACGTCACGCTGCTGATTTTAGACGACTCGCCGGTCGCCATGACGACTCGCGCAAACGTCTCCATGTCGGCGTCTGCCGTCGTCGTCGTCGCCGTCGCCGCCGGCAACGGATCGTCGACGCGCGCCGAGGCGGAGGGCTCAACGGGCGCGAAGAGAGGAATCGATGAGAGGGAGGCGTCGGGCGCGGAGGGAAGGCACTCCGAGGGAGGAGACTCCACGAGTGGCGCCACCATAGGGGAGCTCAGCTGAGGGGCCAAGGGATGAGACTCCACAGGTGGTGCCACTGTATCCGGACTCGGCGGAGGGGCCGAGGGAGGCAACTCCACAGGTGGCGCCACCGTATCCTGACTCGGCGGAGGGGCCGAGGGAGGCGACTCCACGGCTGTTTTGCTCGGCGATTCCGTGGGTGCCAAGGGTACCGTCTCCATCTCTGCCGGCGCGTCATCCTGTGAATTCCCGATCACACGACCGCGCGTTGCCTCCCCCGCATCACTGCCAGCTTCTTCACCCGCCCGCGCGGCGGCGGAGGAGGAGGTGACCTCGCCCTCTGGTGGCGGCTCGGAAACCCGCGGCTCGCTAGCGCCCTCCGACTGCTCGTCTGATCCTCGCTCCGCCGCCGCCGTCGCCGCGGCGACGACGACCGACTCGGGAACCCGCACGAGCTTCTGAACCTTCGCGATGACGTCTACGACGTCTGCCGTCGCTTCCGCCGCCGTCCCGTACGCCCGCCGCTCCGTCTGCGAGCGGAGGAGAAGGTCTCTCGCGGTCGCCATGTCCCCGGGCGCCTCCGCCGGCCCGGATGTCTCCCCGCCGTCCTGCCGCTCTCCGAGATCGTCCGCGGAAGACCGAGTTTGCGGCGGGGCGCCGGCGCCATCTTCGTCGTCGATAACGGCGGGCTGTCGCGGTTCTTGGACTTCTGTTAGCGCGTTCTCGAAGTCGTCCGCTTCGACTTGCCGCTTCGACTTGCCCTGTGAAACGGTTCAGAAAAAGATCGCAGACATTAGGCGTAGCTTGAATGGGCGGTCGCGATTGATCGTTATACTGCACGCACGACCAGCGTACTGCGATCGTAACCGTACCTGGTGCGCATGTTACGGGTTCTGGACGCGCGCCGAGTTTATGAGCGTCGTCCGTAGATCGCGCGTCGTAAATAAATCCGATGGTCAGTCTGGTACAGCCGCTTTGCGCCGCACACACGAGAGCACATCTATAAGAATATTTAATGGTCAAATTAAATTGAATTCTGAAGATAAACATTTACAAAAGTCTAAATTCATAAGCAAACCCATTCCTGTTGATTCGCAGTGAATTGTTGACAACAATGGTGCGGTGGCGCACTGTTCATGTGCAGTGCAATGGACTGCGAGTTTTTAGCATCACGTTATTGCCTCAGGATTGTACGCTGTGTCTGCTGCCGCGCCGTGTGGTGTGTGCTGTGTTGTGTGTGTGCGTGTCGCTGTGCATCGACGCGTGTGTGTGTGTGTGTGTGGTGTGTGATGTGTGATTGTGTGTGTGTGTGTGTGTGTGTGTGTGTGTGTGTGTGTGTGTGTGCGTGTATATATGTGTGTGTCACGTGTTTACTGACCTATCGTGATACGCTAAGCCTATAGCGCTGCCTAAAGTGGGATTTGCGCCCTGTTCACAGTGCGTCGCTTCTCGAAACTCACCAAGTATCAGTTTCAGTTTCCACACTGTGCGATCGTGACCGCTATGGTCTTTCGCTACCCTTCACGCCTTCAAAAATAATGTTTTCGGCATCATTGTATTTTTGCAAATTATTGTGATAAATACATTTTTTTAATTGAAATTTGAAATTTTGATCACGCGCGGAGGCCAAGGAGTGGGGTAGTCGTGAATTCGACTGATGAGTGATTGACACACGGCGGGCAGCCCCTATTAGACGCGACAGGTCCGATAGACCCGAATATTCAAAGGCGCATTAGCGGTTGGTTAGAAGTTAGGGTTAGGGTAGGGTTAGGGCGTTAGGCGCATGATATAGTAAATAATTAATATGTTTAGATTATAAGTGGCAATCATATGCATTTAAGTGGCATCGGTGATGTGCGCTGCATATTCACGCTTCGAATACAGCATTCAGTGGATGTCCGGATGCGTAGCGCTAGAGGCTAGGCGAGCGATTCAGGACGTGTAACCGACTGCGTATTCGCAATATTTCGCACCTTTCGGGTCTATCCGTCCTAGGGGCTGTAGACCATGACGCAACACTCACTATTGTCATTGACACATCACGCGGACAGACTCGGACAGTGCTCAGAAACGCATGAGAACAATCGTAGATCGATGCATTAATTTAAATTACGACAAATTATTATTCCTACCCTTTTCTTTGACTTTGTCTCTTCTTTATGTATGTTGTGACAACGGGGAGCTTCTGCCATCTGGCTTCGTTGGCTTGCGGACTCTGTTTATATCATGTAGAAGTAACACCGGCGACTATCGGGTGCAATAGTCTTAACAGGAATAGGTGCTGCCAGCCGCCAAACCGATAGCGAACTCCGCAAACGACGAAAACACACGCGAATCACTTGCAGTTTGTTCAAAACATTAGCGTTTATGCTTCTTGTACGCGATCTACGTTTGAAGCGATAGCTGCAAGCGACGCCTCGCATAACGCGAGAAACTCTAGCGTTTTCGAAAATTATCGTTAACAGAGAAACATGGCCTTACGGCAAACGCCTATCGGCAGTGCGCACCTCCGGACAATCGGAAAATGGTCAGACACAGACGAACTTCAAGTTAGCAAGATCGGTGCTAGCAATCAGGTAATAAGCGAATAAGAATCGCCCCGCCTTCGCACAGACGTCCACTCATACTATTACTACAGCCGAATATTTAATACTAGTAAGAAAAATCCCGTCCCCGCAACAACAACAACAACAGGCCAATGGTAGGTCCACTGGCACTGTCAGTGTCACTCGCCGCCTGAGAGAGGTCTGTGGCCCCGGGGTACTGCCGGAACCGTACCCTGGGTAACGCCGTCCGCGGTAATACGGAACGTAACTCTGGTAGCTATGCTAATATGCCGAACGTACTCGCTCTACTCCAGTAACGAGTGCTAGGGAGTCGCCTACCCTACTCCGCTAACCCGCGAACGCGAACCGATAGATACCCTAAATCGTAACCCTAACCTAAGCGCCTAATCCTAATACGCCTAAACCATATCAATAGTGAGCGAGGCGTAGCGTTACGCGGTAGTACCGGCGACCGCCGTACCCAGGGTCGAGTTCCGGGCAGTACCCTGGGCGACATAGACCTATGAGGCATCGCACTGCCACTGCGCTGCTTGTAACTTTACTGATTCGAAGCAACACAACGACAATTATATCATGTAATGATGATGTATGCATAAATGAGATTCTGCCTCTGTTGGTGTTGGTTTTCTAATTATGAATGTTGATCTGAGCCTAACGTTTCATAAAAGGCCTCTCAGATACACACCTACACAATCATGGCTGCGGTGTCACTGCCACTGTCACTGACGAAGATGCAATATTAACGTTGTCATGCTTTTATAGGAGCCCATCTTTCGCTGTCGAACAGTACCCCCAATGACTGTGCGCAGGACGGATTTGCGATTTAATCTTGCAGTTACCTACTTCAGGTTCCAAGG